CCCCCCCCCCTCTCACCCCACTCTCTCTCTCTCCCACCCTCTCTCTCTTCTCTCTCTCTCTCTTACTCTAACAACACAAGGAGGTACAACTCACCTAGATTGGTGAAATAACCCACAAAAATAATACTATTTATGGGATATTACAATGGCGAATCAACTCTGCGTTCCTTTCCGTCTTTCTGCATAACTTTATCTACCGATACTAATAATATTGTAATTTGCCATCATTGTGTTTTCGAAACACTTTGTAAAAATACAACCTTTAATAAGTTTAATGCATTTTCTTGGACAGTAGTATTATTGAATAAGTCGATCTGCGAAATCAGCGGCCTTCTCCGATAGTGCCCTAATGGATTGTAAAATTTATACCCCGAAAAATACTCTTTTTTCTGTATCTCCTCTGGCTGAGCCGCTATGACAACTACCACTGTGCCAGTGCAAGTGGACAGAAAGACCCGGTTATCCGGTTATCCGGTTAATTTCTCATAAAAAGAATCACTGGCCTAAGAGCTACTTTATCCGGATTACTAACCCTTTAGCCTTCCAAAAAGAATACTATTGTTTTATCTTTATTTTTAAAGTAAAATTTTAAAGTAAATGAAACATGGGAGAACTGTCGCACACGGTTTGCCTCTATATCTGTTCGGGTCCCCCCCCCCCCAACTTTTTTTAAACCTCATAATTCAGTGCGTAAAAGTCATACCACGATCCGGTTTCATCCGGTAGGCCTTGATAATAAATATGTGCATGCATTATCTTCTCTGCCTCTTCGTTCTCCACCGTGACGACGGAGGTAAAGGTTAAACGTCAACGCAGTGTTGTCACAGAACAAGCAGGATATGTGTGTGTGTGACGTAGACTCCACAAAGGGGGAGGAGCTAACAACCGTGGCGGAAGCTAAAAATAGCCACCTCCGGATTTCCAAGTTACTGGGAACTCTTTGGGTTGGTTTAACCCGGAACGGTGAACATGTGAGGACAAAACCAGAGGGGCGACGGGAGAGGGATACCTGTAGGTTGAAACGGTTAGTCCGCGCAGCAGCAGTTATAGCAGCGGTCGAGTGAGAGTTGTATTTCTTCTATTTAAACATCAGTTACTTACTAGATTTAGTAAAGAGAGGACCTGCCTGAAACAAGGTTCCTGGAGCGGGGAATTCTTTTATCAAGGTAGGCCTGGTACATTATCATAAGTTATGCATGATGTCGGTTTTTATCAATGTTTTTCTCTTTTGTTTTGAAATGTGAACCCTTGACCTTTTGTTTTAAAATCGATTTTATCACGGCTCTTCGAGAGATCAGGAAGAATACCAAAAAAAACCAAACACCTCCAAACAAATTTTTTTCGGGATGTCAGAAATGTATTTCCATATAAGCCTTGGATGAAATGACAATGACAATGATAATGATAATAATCATTTGATAATATAGAAATAATAATAAGGCATAATAATAATGATGATGATAATAATTATATAATAATGATGATAACAATACTACTACTACTACTACTACTAATAATAATAGGGATGATGATGATGATGGTGATGGTGATGGTGATGATGATGATGATGATGATGATGATGATGATGATGATGATGATAGCATTTATATTGCTCATATTCATGCTCTACACGGTGCTCCTTTAACTCATCTGTTTGTTTTGGTAAGAGTTTGACGGTGTTCACAACTGCACCAGGTCGTATGAGCGCGCGGGACCCAAGTTGCTAGTTTTCACATTTAGGTACGGTTTGAATGAATTTAGAATTTTGCCTGGGTGGCGGCCAAAGTCTACTCTCATTGATTTTAGGACCACAATGGGATCTTTAATTTGTGCAGCTTGCACACACAGGACCTCTGAGTTTTGTTCATCCTTAGCCGAGAATGGTAGGTGTTAGATCTTATCTACCTCAAGATCAAGGGTGGGGCTGAAAGACAGCATTAAGAAGGAGCCAGGAGAGAGAGAGAGAGAGAGAGAGAGAGAGAGAGAGAGAGAGAGAGAGAGAGAGAGAGAGCGATAGATAGATAAAGAGAGAGAGAGAGAGAGACAGACAGACAGACAGACAGACAGACAGACAGACAGACAGACAGACAGACAGACATACTAACAGACCGACAGACCGACAGACAGTTAATTGATTCAATGATTAAAAAAAACACTTTGATGCTAAGCGTGGACGAGCTGCCCTCCAAACGACGTTCCGATTATATGACATTGTTTGTTGACTTATTTCATTCGATTATTTGCTTTTACTTTTTGCTTTTAAGTGTGATCTTCTCGAATTATCCGGCTTGACAGTTTATATTAAAATGTGAAATCGGGCTTGAAAAATAAGACACTCAGCAACCACACTCTCTCCCAATGACATTTCAGAAACAGACATGATTGTGTTGAAAGGAGGAGGGAGAGAAGGAAGAGGGGGAAATGGGTGGTGGGTGGAGGAAGGGAGGGGGGGGGGATTTACGAACACTGTTCAGAAAGAAGGTCAACCTGGCCTTTGTGAGTTAAAAGTACAGTTTATAACAATAGGAGCACATGTATTAAGGACAAAACAACAACAACAACAAAAACTCATACGAAAGTAAAAACGAATTGCCCAAGGCATGCCGTCTTATGTCGACGAATATATTATATGTAACACATTATATTATTATCTTTGATTTTCGAGAAACACGTTCTTACAGAAAAAGTAGAGGTAAAGAGAAAAAGAGGTAGACCAATCTGAAGATGGGAACTTGAAACAAAAACTTAGCTTGAATAATCCAAAACAACATAAGCGGGCAACATGGCAAGAGACAGTGTGCTTTATTACAGAAAAGCGGGAGAAGCAACGTGCAACGTCTGGAAAAGCTGAGAAGAAGAAGAAGAAGAAGAAAAAGAAGAAGAAGAAGAAGAAGAAGAAGAAGAAGAAGAAAAAGAAGAAGAAGAAGAAGAAGAAGAAGAAGAAGAAGAAGAAGAAGAAGAAGAACAACAACAACAACAACAACAACAACAACAAGTTGTGAAGCCCGTATAGAACATACTGTACACTGTAGAATGCAGGGCATGGGTGCTTGCAATAAAAGCCTATAATGAGACCACCTGAAGTAGACATGAATCTATTGGTTGTAGCTTAAATTATGTGTGTGTGAAACGATAAGGGTTTTTCGCCATATTTGTTGATTGTTTACTGGTTTGACTAAACTGTATCTGTGCTTGAGGTGCAATTTTTTCTCTTAGCCTGTACGTGCAGGCGGCATGGGTTCGATTGTCACATGAAGGAGTGTGCTTTATGAGTATCTCTGTCTTCTTGCTGATATGTTTATGTAACTCCCCTCCCCCCTCCCCTTACACACACACAAATCTGGATTGGCTCGTGGACGGAAGAGTCGAAGCAGGCACCTCAGATAATATGGAAAATGAGCTTATATTTTGGACCTAAAATACGTACCTTCAGTTTCATTTAACTTCTCTAGTTGTCGAAGTTGTCTAATCACCTTTAGGGTATCGGCATCTTGTTTTGACTTTGCATTTGGCGCAGATTGACTCCTTTTTGTTGCTTTGATATGCGCCCATTGGGATAGACTGTCGTGACGGTCGTTACTGTGAGCGAGCAGGACATCAAACCAGATCACTGTTAATTGGTTTGCGTCAACCAGTGCGATTGGTAACCCTCCTCCCTCCCACGCTTACCCCTTGCTGTGTGTTGATATAGGTGTTGGTCAAGATCGCAGTATTCGACGAGTCTGCCTTCACAACTGAAGACAAAGAATTAGTGAGTAAAAAATCGTTAACAAAGTGAAGGCAGGAATTTTTCTTCATTATATCAAGTCTTTTTCTTATATCTTTGTATCTTTTCAAAAATGTTTTATGTAGCTGTTTTTACGCTCCCGTTGACCCAATTTCGATCATAAAGATAGAGAGAGAGAGGAGAGAGAGAGAGAGACAGAGACAGAGAGAGAGAGAGACACACACAGAGAGAGACAGACAGACAGACAGACAGACAGACAGACAGAGAGAGAGAGTGAGAGAGATAGAGAGAGAGAGAGAGAGAGAGAGAGAGAGAGAGAGAGAGAGAGAGAGAGAGAGAGAGAGAGAGAGAGAGTTCTTGCGTGGGCGTGGGTCCAACATGCTGACAAGAAGTTTTCTAGAACCTACTTATTTGTTGTGTATGACCTGCAGGGGATGGTGAACTGTTTCCTGGACGCTCAGTGGCTGCCCAGCTCACTTTTCTTTTCGTTTTCCCAATTTAATCCCACAACAGACGGGGAGCCCACAACACGAGTTGTTACATTTTTTTCAGGAGACGGAAGTGAAGCCGTGAAGCTTTTACGCATTTGATTGTGCTGGGCAAAGATCCGATTTTAAAGTATTTTTAATTAACATGATTTAGACTGAAAATAACTTGACAAGGCTTTTGATCTACAATATTATAGTCAAGTTTTTAGAGCTTTACTTTTGACACCATTACCTCCTCCCCTCCCTCCCCCGTCGGTTAACAGATAACGTCTCCTATATTGGTGAAATTTAGTCAGTCGAGTTACGGATGAAACCGGATCAGGAACAAAACTTAGAGGCCGGTTGAAACAAATAAGTTGAAAACCGGTTTGTCTCGGTCACTCTAAAAGTTAGACTTCGTGCGTGACTTCTTGTCAAATTTATGACCTACTCCAATCACCTATTTTGGGAGAACTAAGGGGTTGGAGTTTCCTTCGATAAATTGACTGACTGACTTGCTTGAACAGTTGTAAAACAGATTAGGCCTAAAAGTGCACTGAAAGCAACAAGTCGAAATCGACCTGGAGTGTCCCAGAAAAAAACCCTGATCCCTTTCAATGATTGGATATCCAGTTCCTGATAAAGACTCGGGCTACTACATAGAAGACATTGCGCTTGTCACAGGAGGGGAGAGTGTGGTTTGTGTTTGTGCGGGACCTCTGCTGTGGGAGGACCTTTGTATGCTTCTCAGTGTGTTTCTGTCAACTTCGCTCGTTTGCTCAACTGGGCAGGATATTTTTCTGTATTGTGGTTTTCAGGAACGTGGCCGTTGGCGGTTAAGGTAAGATTGAAAGAATACCAGCACGAAATTCAACTATTAAAGGTTTAAATTTCTAGATCTAGATCTAGCACAAAATGCGACAAAATTTAAGGTTTGACTAATATTTCTACACGTACGAAATGCGACAATGTAAAGTTTAGTTTAACCGATACTTCTCCTAGCACGAAATGCTAAAAATATAATGATTTAGTGTATACATGTATATATAT